GAGCCTGTTTTGCTTATTCCTGGTCACATCTCACAGCAGACACCAGGGTGAGGGAATTTTCATGGGGGCACTGGCTCTGTGCCAGGCTCAAACCATGACACTGGGTCTGCTGCTCTTGAGCCTGTACAGCAATTTCAGGGCTTTATACTGGCTCATAAACCTGTAAAGGCAATGACTCAATTCTCATCTTTTTTTATGGCTTCGGCTTTTGTTGGGTTAATGGATTATCTGATTGGAAGGAATTATGTTTTATAGCATTTGTGGGGTTTTTTTTTTGGATTTATTAGATTTACCAAGCAATTGTCTTTCCCAGAGTCTGTGGGATTTTTTCCTGTAGAAATATCCTTCAATACAGTTAAATATTTCATTGTGTAGGTTGTTTGTATTCCAGGCTACTCTGGTTTATTTTCTTGAACAGATATGGAGCTAGGCAAAATTTAACAGTGTACCTTTGCTCTTCATGGCTATATCAATAATCACTTTCCTAGGTACTTTGATGACATTATATCACATCACATACTTACAAAAGAAAAATCTTGATGGCATCAAATACTATTTACAGGTGACATACCTGCAGTATATAAAAGACATTGCTCATTAGAGAAAAAACCTTCACTCCTTTCCTAAGCTTCTCAGGTGTGCAGCCAAAAAAGACAAAAATAGAGGACTTATGCCATAATGGGATATTCTTGAGGTAATATTTTTCAGTTACCTAGACTGCTTGTGAGTTGGCACATTTCAGACTGTCAGTGGTTCCGAGTGTACAGGAGAAATAAAAAGCTGTAGGAAAAAAACAAGAAAAGCCCCAAAAGGCTGTTGCTGTTGTTGACTGTGCTCTTAGCAGGGTGTCAGACTAGATTGTCTCCAGAGGTGCCTTCCATCCCCAGTGATCCTCTGACAGCAATTCTGCAGATCTTAAATTCAGAGTATATCTATGGGCAGATTATTTTTCTTAATATTTTTTTTCTGTAGAAGAAACTGATTCTGTATTTAATGAAATTAATTCCCCTTCTTACCATATATTTCTTCTTATGCTTTCAAGAGAAAACTGGAATTCCAAAGTTTTTGTTTAAGAAAAGGGGGAGACAACAGAGGACATAAGAAATTTAGCATCTATGGCATTTACCACTTCTGCAGCAGCCCAGATCTGGCTCTCCCTTGGAATTAGCACACCCTCAGCATGATCTCTGTTTGAACACAGAGCAATGAAGACTGTTGTGATTTACATCTGACAGCTGGGATTGTTCCCCAAGGAGCTCAGTCTGGAGTCAGTGTCTCCAAAGGATTGATGACCACTAAAGCAATGGCATTATTAAATTTAAACGGGAAAAAAGCCAATGTTTTACAAGTGACCATTTAATTTGGAAAGAAAGCAGCTTTGAAACTCTCACCCCTCTTCATCATGTAATTACACTTTAGACAAAAAGTTGGTTCCAGTTGCCTTATAAGGCTCCAACAAAAATAGTGTGCAGCCAGCCCAGGATATTTCTGTCAGCCCTTAAAAGCTCATTCAGCTCCATTGTAGGATTAAGAATGTTTTTGTGAAGAACAGGGAAGTCTTCAACTAACTAAGGATTTAAATATCAAATTAATCCTTCATTAAAACACATTCTCCTCACCTTTTTCCTAACAAGCATAGAATGTCAGGAAACAATTGACTACATGTTATTGAACCAAGTATTTTTCTCATTAACTTTTTAGTTTTCTCCGTAGCCTAAATGTCTAATTTGTGGAATAACAGGATTTTCTAATAATGTTTATTTTGACATTTATGAAGTAACATTGGTTTTGATGAAGTCAGATTGTGAGACAATAGAGGCAGACAATAGAGGCAAATCCCAGTCTAGCAGTTCCATAGCTCCTCTCCAGTCAGAGAAATATCATAGATATAAATCAGAGAATGATCTGCTGAAATGTGAGGAGAAGGGACTAAAAAGGTGTT